TTTCCAGAACCGCCTTTCTCCTCGGTCATGTCCCCTGATTTCACAGTTTCAGAGCTTGGAAAGCTCTTAGAAATCATGGCCATACTGTCATTGATCAGACAGAGAGACTGAGGCCCACAGAGTTATCTCTCCTGAGAAAGCTTCTCTTAGTAAGAGCCCAAAGCCCGGCACCCCCGCGGTCGGAGAGCATCGCCCAAGGTTGGGTGAGACAGTGCGGTGTGAGCTCTGGAGTCAGGCCATCTCTGAATCCCAGCTCTGTCCCCTTCTCACCGTGAGACCTGGGAACACAATCCACTTCTCTGAGCCTCCATGCCCACACCCACAAAATGGGGATAATAACGACTGCCACCCCCAAAGGTTGTTGCCGAGAGCAAACGCAGTAACGCATGGGAAGCGTTTAGCACAGCGCGTGGTTCACAGAGTGGGCTTGTAGATGTGGGTTATTGTGATCATGCTTATGGAGCTCGTCAGAATTGCTTTCCTCCAGGTTCTCCTCACAGTAAACACTCTGGGCAAGGAACATTCCTGATCAGAAAATGGAACAGCCATAAGGCCATGCCCACTGGATGTCCCCAGACCACTTGAAAGGGCCTCCTGACATGTTACTGTGATGAGGCACCTCCCACTGACCAGCCAGCCAGTAGTCCTTGACTTGAACGTCAGGGAGTTGGCTGGGGCGGGGCAGGGCGGGGGGGGGGGGCGGCGATGAGAAGCCAGTCTGGTGCTTTAGGAGGAAGAGGGCAAGGGAAAGGGGCAGGCGTTCCTGATCACCCACGGCGTGTCAGGCACCTGGCTGCCTTTCGGCTTTGTGAAAATCGAGTGAAGTGCTTGGCTCATTGCCCGGGGTGTAGCGAGTGTCGGTGACGACTGTTCTGGTGGCTTGCGGAGGCAGAGGGCAATGTGTTACAACAAAGAGAGCGTGGTCTGGGGCTAGGCCTGGGTCCACCTCTTCCTAGCTGTGTGAACCCCGGGCTTACTGATTTTCACCTCTCTGGGCCTCAGTACCCTCCCTGTCAAATGGGCATAATGGCGGGACACCCTCACAGGGCTGAGGCTTCTGTCACATAACGTGAGTAAGGCACTTTACATGGTGCTGGGCACGGGGCACAGGGCCCCGCAGACATGCGCTGCTGCTGTCGGATCTCACTGAAGCCTCCGCATTCTGAGAGAGAGAGGTTTTGTCACACACCCCCTCCCCCGCTTTACAGAACCTCACACACCCCCTCCCCCGCTTTACAGATGAGGAAACAGGCTCAGAGAGGTGCAGTGAGCTGCCCAGGGTCTCACAGCAAGTAAGTGGCAGAGCTAGGACTTAAAACCAGATCTGGGCCCTGAGCGACCCTCATTCTCCATGCCTTCCAGGACCTCTGGGCGGGGGCGGGGGGTGCCCGGTGGGGCAGGCCCCCAACTCAGCCACCTCCCTCGCCCTCCTCTTGCAGGTCATCCTTTTTCAGTACTAATGCTGCCGGCCCTGGTGCATCTGTCCACGGGCACCCCCCAACTGCCCCGCAGCCGCTGAAAGCCGGTGTCCGAGCCCCACTTCCAGGGATCCACCCGCTCCGCATCCACCCCTCACCCGCCGTCCTGACTGCCACCGGCCGGGCCCCCGGGGCCTGGCCTTCCCTTCTCCTGCTGACAACTAGAACCTGCCAAGAGCACTGCGGGGTCCTCCTCTCAGAAGGCAGAGCTCCCTGAAATTTGGAATCTGGGTGAAAACAACGGCCTGTTTTTCCATTTAGACAGGAGTCATCTTCAACTTAAGCTGATTACAATAGCAAAAGGCCAAATTGAATCGTGCAACGCCAACAGCCTTCTAATTTACAGGTTTTCTTTCTTCCCGTATTGGCCTTTATTTACTACTTCCTTGCAACCATCTCTGAATTCTGAATAGCCGACAACCCCCAATGTTATCCACTCTGTTGCTTTTGTCTGGAAAACTCTACAGTGTTTGTGGGATGTCCCCAAAGGAAAGCTATGTTCTAATTTTATCATTTCCATCTGTCTGGTTATGTCAAGTTAATTCAGAGAGAGAAGAGACGCTGACCAACCCTGAGAGGCCCAACAGGGCAGAGATGGAGGCCTGCCCAGACCAAGAGGGGCAGGGGGATAGGCAGGGGCTGGTGGGGGGGGGGCGGCTAGGGCTCCCACCAGAGAAGGATGTGGCATGCTGGGCTGGGGGAGGCACTAGCTATTTTAAGGAGAGGAAAGAGAAGACTCGGGGTGTGTACGGGGGGGACTGTTCCTACCTAGTTATCCAGCATATACACAGGAGACGTGGCAGAGATGCCGTTTGATACGCATGATGGCATTTCTGAACGCTTGTGCGGTTAGAACCGGCGGCCCTCGTTGGCTACTTGCTGACTCCTGATAGGGTCTTCCTTGGAGGGGCCATCATGGGGGCAGCTGGAGAAACAGAGCCCAGGGAAATGGCAGTAGGAATGCTAATTCTGGACCCATCTCTGAGTAGACAGAGGGTGCCTGCTGCCTAGGTGAGTGTGCCAAGCCCAGGATTCCAGGGGGGCACATGGGGGCTTCCCCACCAGCCCTGCACGGAGCCAGCCCCACCCACTCGGGAGAGTGGAGGCCAGACACAGCTGTGCTCACATCCACCCTATTCTGCTGTAACTCTTCCACCCCAAACAAAAGGGCTTGGGCTGCACAAGACCATGATTTATGTTTTCAGGGGACGCCCATTTGTCCCAAGCTCATCCTGTAATTTCAGAATTACTTGGTGTCCTGATGCATTTCCCACTAGAGGCTGCTAGTAAGCATGTTCTAGCCCAAGTCCTCCCTCTTGCTTCGGTTAGCCTGATGCATTGCTTTTGGAAGGAGACTCTAGGACGGGGAAAGCACGTTCACGGCACACATGTATCTGCTGTCTCTCCTTTCGCCCGTGGTAGACATGGTAGACATCGCTGATTGATTGTATCACTCTCGGAGTCTGGATCAGGTTTCGGAATCCAAATGCTTGAAGTTGGCACTTAAAAACGAAAACCTATATGCCTTTCTTGCTCTGGGACCTGGAGGAGGGCGAGGCACGGGTATAGCCCGAGAAGGGAACCTGCTTCCTTTCCCTTCTGAAGACAGTTCCGGGGGACTCAGGGCCAAGAGAAGGTAGCACCAGAATGCGGCCAGTGCAGCTCGGTTCAGAGCTCATCCAGTGAGTAGCCTGTACCTGGCCCTGTGCAGGGTGCCGATGTTCACAAGAGGAACTCAGGCCTGATCCCTGGGGACTGGGGACCTCTCGTGTTTCCTTTGATTTTTGCTCCTGATGACCGAAGCCCCGAGCACAACAGCCATGTGGTAAGTGGCCAGCCGAACCCTGCCCAGGGTCACCTAGTACCCACTCTGCCTTGAGCCTCCCCCAGGGTCTGTTCCTTGCGTGGATCACGTGGTTGTAGCATGTTGCCATTCAGACATGTCTCCACTAGCCTGTTAGAGCAGCCTGGGAACGCACAGGCCACCAAGACTATTTATTTAAATACAAAACAGAGGGAGAAAACACACACGGAAAAAAATTGTAAGCACTTTTTTTTGTAAAACCAATGTCTGTTTTGTTACATACCTTTCATGTTGTGCTTTGTAAATGTCCTATTTGTGTAATAAATAAAGTTAATGCAAGTAGAAGTGCGGGCACTTAAATCCAGAACGCGATGGGATTCCGTTTCTTTCCTGCTCTCTGGTTAAGGGCTCCGGCCCTCAGCACCCGAGGCTTCTGGGCTGCTAGACAGTGCAGTCCCCCCTTCCTGGACAATTGGTACTATTTCCCCGTTAAACCCAGCCGTGCGCTGCCAAGGCAGGATGGTGAGTTTGTTCTCCAATCGAAGCTTTGTAGGCAGTCGGTCTGGCTACTGTGCTCCATGTCAGTCCTGAACAAACACTTTCTACTGGGCCCCATGCTGGCTCTGCAGGCTTGGAGAAGGGCCCAGCCCACCAGCCTGAGAGGAGCTCTCAGTCTGGCCAATGCTGTAACAGGAGGATCCCTCCAACGGGCTGTGGGGGCCGGGGTGCAGGTCAGAATAGGTACAAAAAGGAGATGTTGGGGGGCCAGGGAGGGGAAGGGCAGGGGAGCCTGTTTGGAAGATGTGGGAGAACTTGGTCTGGGGAAGCAAAGGGAATATGGGATGGGAGGCAGGGAGACACGGAGACAAGGCTCCAGCTTTGACGCAAGTCTGGGTCTCCTACTGGGCCTTACTGGGTTCCAGAGCCACCACACAGTCTGGGGAGTGAGAGAACATCTTTCTGCTCACTGGCCACTCTTCTTTTAGCAGCAGAACTGTTGGTTCAAGCCAAAGCTCTCGAGGACGGGAGTGGAGTGGCCCTGCCTGGCCCTGCACAGAGTTGCTCATAAACCTCAGCTCGGGGTGTACATGGTCCTCACCCCAGCAGGGCCCCTGTCTTTATTTTATTAGTTGTTTCATCCGCCATCCCTGGCCCCGTCTCTGCCCTTCCCCCGCTCCATTCTTCCAATCCACTTATCAAATGTTGATTTAGATATATGTGTATCTTTCTTTTTAAGATTTTGTTTATTTATTTGACAGAGAGACACATAGGGAGAGCAGGAACACAAGCAGGGGGAGTGGGAGAGGGAGAAGCAGGCTTCCCGCAGAGCAGGGAGCCCGATGTGGGACTCGATCCCAGGACCCTGGGATCATGACCTGAGCCGAGGGCAGACGCTTAACGACTGAGCCACCCAGGCGCCCTATATGTGTATCTTTCAAAACTAGTTTAGCTAAGTTTAATTGTGTGTGTGTGCTTCTTTACATGAATGTGACTTCTGTTTTCAAAGCACAGTTTGGAAACCCCTGTGGAGATAAACCCTGTCATTCTATAGAGGTGACTGTTGCCCTGGAGGGGAGGGGGGATCCCCCCAGGATCCCTCCATGGAGCAGCTGAGTGTGCCCAGGCCACCCTCTGACTCCTAACTCTGCCTAGCCTGCCAACTCTGGGTCACTGGTTTGAGGGCCACTTTCCTACCCCTGCAGACCTTGTCAGAGCCTTCACAGGCCCGCCTTCTCCTGGCAGCTCTTGGTGAACCAGGAACAAAGCATGGGGGGTGGAGGTGGGAGGGGCTGCGGGATCCAGCAGCCTCTATGGAGGGACGGTTATGCAGAGGCCAGGATGCCTGTGGCCCAAGTGTGGCCCTAGAACATGTCACCCCTTCCTCTTCTGGTTTTCAGCTGACACTTGGTCTTGGGGGTGATGTTGAGAAATACCTGGGAAATAAGAATGCATCAGGGAATGGCAGCTGGGAATGCACATTGCTAGACCCCATTCCCAGAGATTCTGGTTGGCATGTCTAGGGTAGGGTCCAGATATATCTAATTCACAGGTGATTTTGATGCCAGTGAAATGAGGATCCCCTAAGAAACCATCTCAGGAAAGTACACTTGGGGCCACTGAGAGCAGGAAGGCTTTATTCCTGAGTTAAAAGCCAGGGTCTGGAACTGCAGGCTGCCCCCAGGGCCGGCCACGGCCACGGCCAGCAGGCTACAGGAAACCTCCGCCAGCCGAGCTCACAGTTTGGGTCGGTGACCCACGATCTCGTCCCAGCCCTTGCGACACGTCCTGATGATCCACTCGTGCTCATCATCATCTGCAGGGGAAGAGGAAGAGCTGATCATGCCTGGTGTATGCTGGGCCTTCTCTGGGCTGGGAGACCCGCAGGCGGGGTCTTGGGACTGGGGTGCATTCCAGCACAGGGGTGTGGCCTTGGTGGCCAGGCTAGCTCTGTGCTGGGAAGGAACAGATCTTTCACTAAAACCCGAATCCTTCAGTTGCCTGCGAATGCCTGGTCTTGGGGGAAATTGAACACAAAGGGGTTTGCAGATGGTGGATATCGCTGATGGAGGCAGGCACAAGGTCATCTGGCAACCCTGAGCTGGGCAGCCCCGACGCGCACCCAGAGAGCAGCTTGCTCGGGCATTTGCCCCGTCTGACACCCACAAAGGGCACCTCCCAGAACAGCCAGTCCAGGCCTTGCCGGTAGTGCCAGGGGCCGGAGCCCTCAGCTCTTCTTCGTTTCCTTTCTGGGTTTCCCATTGTAGACCCTTCTAAGAACCTGTGGCTCCCCAGGGGAACCTGACACCTCTGTTGACTCGGGTCCTTTCAGTGGGGAATAGAGAGAAGGAACTGATGTTCCTGTCGGCGTCATGCTCCTTGATCTCCCCTATTTTAACCCCCATGAGCACTTGCAGGCAGCAATCCTGCCATTCTGCCTATGAACAAGCAGGCTCAGAGAGGTCAAGTCACCGGCGCACGGCCATCGGTTAGTACGCGGGAGAGCCCAGGATGTGAACCCAGGTTGGTCTGACTACAAAGCTTGTGCTGTTTTTTTAAACCTCAGAGAGAGGGAGTGAAACACAGGCTTTGGTCCTCCCCCACACCACAGTCATCTCTCTGGGGACTGACTTATTTTCCCCCATTATCCCCCACACCCACACCCAGCCCCTCCCTGAGCCCTGACAGAGACCCACTTGAATGGTGGGATATATACCCCTAAAACTTCATGCAGCTCTGTAAAATGTGTGCTGTTGCTTTGTGTGCGAATGTGGTTTTAATTTGCCACCATAAATGGCATTGTGCTGTGAATTTCATTGTGTCTTACTTTTTTCACTCAACACTACATTTTCAAGATCTATTCTTGTTGCTAAATGTGCATCTAGTCCTTTACCTCTTACTGCTGCCTAATACTCTGTGGTGGCTTCCCTGTGATGTTTTACTATCCGCCCTTCCGGGGCAGGACACCCAAGGGTGCTACCTCCAGTTACCAGAAATACTGCCGGGACAGACGTTGTTGGGCCCACCCCTTCCCGGACTCCTGGGAGAACGTCGAGGGGGAGGGTCTCGGAGTGGCACCCGCACTTCGTGAACCAAGGCTCCCAGCTAAACCTGAATTCTTAGGCTGTCCCTGCCTCTTTCCTGCCTCACCTCTGTGTCAGGCCCTGGGGACAAAGAGAACTAGCCCAAACCCCTGCCCTCAAGCCGTTCTCCTCAGGGCTACAACCCTGGGGCGGCTTTAGTGTCCTCTCCTGACCTGCCTCTGCCTAAGGGATGGGAGCATGGGACTACCCATCCTCCTCGGGGACACATGGCGGTAGCCAGAGATCAAGGGCAGCCCCCTGCCGCCCCGCTGAGAGCTCAAACATGGAGGGCCAGCCCAAATCCTGCCCTCCCAATCAGATCCCCCTGCCCCCTTCCTCTTCTGGGAAAGCACCAGGCCCAGGCTCAGAGAGATGGAGCCTTACTGACAGCCTACTGTGTGCTCCGTGCTTTACAAACACCCGTCTTGTGGAGTCTTTGTGATAGCCCAGGAGGGTAGGGGAGGTTACCCCCATTTGAGAGAGGTGACGAGCCTTGCCTCACCGCCACAGCCAGTGGAATTCAAACCTAGGCCCATCAGACTCCAAAGCCTGACGGCCCCCACCCCAGGGCTGATGTGACAAGGGTGCCAGAAGGCGAGGCTGCCCCCACAGAGCTAGCCTCCTCGGCCTCCTCCCCACTACTCCTTTGTATGTGACCTCAGGAAAGAGGCTTGCCACCTGGCATGCTCTTGCTTTCGAGGACCGCCCTGGGCAGCTGGTGGGCCTCAATTTCTCCCGGGGAGGCTGCCGGGGAATCCACGCGTGGCTGTCAACCCCGGGGGGCGGGGACAGCGGCGGCACACAAGGAGTTAAGCGCTGGTGAAGCCCACTTTTGCCACACCGCAGCGAGCAGCCTGGTTGATAATTACAGTTCTGAAGTCTCTGGGCTATTCGAATCAGTGCAGCTGCAAGCTCTTCAGTGCTAACCCCTGAAACCAGACAAACTGGGTTTATTGTGCTAAACCAGCCCTCAGGCCCCTCCCTGATCGTTACAAATTGACAGCAATGGACTTAACAGCCTCTTCACTACCCCTCTCGCTCTCTACCTGGCGGCACAGCCACCAATTTGAATCACAGATGCCTCCCCTCCCAGCAGCTGCTCACCAACCCTCCCTCCACCTCCTTTGCACTACGCTGAGGCTCCCCTGGCCCCGCCACGCCAGGGTGAGGCTGCCGAAGCACGTTTCATCAATATTTAAAATGGAATTAAACCTGCAGCTTTGATTAATGCCTCCCAGAGCCCGGGAGTTGTGATTACTATTTTGCAAATTGCAATTGTTGGAATATGTTAATATGATTGTCTGAGAACATCTTCACCTTCTCAGATAATTTCCCCCCTTTTTGGCAGGAGGGGAGGGGGGAAAGATGGGGAAAAAAACACCCCGCAAACTCTTTAATCAATTGTAAATTATTACCCTGGGCACAACTGCCAGGGGTTCCGAGGGGAAGGGGAGGGAGATTTCTGGTTTGGTGCATTTATCTTGAAAAGTTTTGGCCTCATTGGCCCATAATTCCCCTCGGGGATGCTATCCTAAGGGAATAATCTATTTGTCTCAGTATTATTGAGAATCAAGGAAACTGAAATAATCTACGTTTCTAAAACGAGAGAATGATTACTTTGTTGTGTGTTCATTTAACAACCAATTTGTAAACGGGGACTGTGGGCCAGGTATTGTGCTAAGTTTGGCGGCAGGGTGGGGGGGGGCACTGTGATTTAGCAGCTCTTGAAAAAGTCCGGTTATGAAGTCTGTATAGCAACATAGAGATGTTTTTGATATGATAAAAGGTGGCAAGAGGCGAGAAACAAAATTACATTGACAGTGTAATCGGCAAAAACCGTGCACAGGAGAAAAATTAAAAATAACACATTGAATGTGAATAATAGGCATCTCTGAGCAGTGGGACGTGAGAGGTTCTTCTGTTTTGGGTATCACCCAAATCTTCTTAATGTGTATTGACGGTCGGAAAAATAAGAAACGACTGTCTTTTTTCCTACCCTCCAACTTAATGCCTTGCTAATTTCATGCATTTTGGTAGTTGAAAAAAATATTTCTAGGTTCCTAGAAACACCAGTGGGGGTTCTTGAATTTCTACAAAGTAAAAAAGCCAGCGTTAAAGTTATTGGTAAAAATGGGAGAATAGACAAATTTCCTGAGCGGAAGAATTACAAATAATTTCGGTGAACACTGCCCTCAAGGAGGTGGGGCATAATTCCCCACTCCTTAGGTGTGAGCTGCAGAGTGACTTCCTCCCCACCAGGACAGTATAGGAAAGGAGCAAAAAACAACAACCAAGAAAGAGTAGCTTTGGCTTGCCTTGATCACCATCAGCAAACTATCCCTGAGCACCTATTTCTTGGTGTCCAGGTCACAGCTCAAATATCACTTCCTCAGCGACCCCAGTCTGCCTGTGACCACCCTTCACTTTCTCTTCATAGCACAGGCTTCTCTCTAATTGTCTTGTTTATTTGTACGTTGTCGGCCTCCCTCCCGCATCTGAACTGCAAGCTCCGGTGAGCCCAGGAGCCCCACCTGCTTGTTCAGTGGTATCGTGCGTGCTGAGACAAGGTGCTTAGTCCATATCTGTTCAGTGAATGAAGGAATGAATGGACAAGCCCCGTGCCCAGTGCTGGGGGTGGGGGTGGGGGGACAGAGGGGACTGAGACCCAGCAGGGGGTGTTGTCTAAAGGCTTGACTCAGACACCCTTCAGGTTCAGGTCTGTCTGCCTTTGGGGCAGAAAGATTTCTTTATTCTGGTCTAAAGTTTTAGAAGTGACCTCACTGCCTCGTGCACTCCCTCCCCCCCATGTCACCCATGTCACTAGGAAAACTGGGCTTCTTATAGAGAAGAAAAGAAACTTTCGGCGCGAGAGACCCCAAATCTGACCATGGACGTCCCTGCTGAGAAGCCTTGCCTGGAGAGGCTCCCTACTCCTTCACCTGGACTTCAAGGCCCTCCATCCAGGTCTTCCTGCTCTCCAGACTGCCTCCCTACCCGGCCTGCCTCACCCTGTAAAATGCAGCCACCCTGCTGTAGGGCAGTCACCCCTGTGTGCATGCACACCAGGGCCTCTGTGCCTGTTACACATACTGTTTCGGGGCTGGGGGACGGGGCCATTTCGGGGTCTTAGTGTATATAAAAGTGAAGAAACGCCTAGACGAGAGTATACCAATTGCAGTGTCATTTAAACGTGTATCATTAACAATTGCTTTTAACAAAAAACAACCAAAGGCAACATAAATGGGTCATTCCAGGATTTCTTTGAAGGCGGTGTTAAGCACAGGGTACACTAAAGGCCGTGGGCTCAGGAAGGGGCTGTGAGGTTGGAGTTGTCTGGTAAACAACTGTCATGGCTGTCACCCTCCAAACTTGAGGCTGCTGGTGAATGTGGGCGACTAGGCCCAGGGCCCTCCTGGCCGCCCTCCACCCCCATGGGCCCTGCTTGGATGACATCTTCCCGGACTCACACTGAGGTCACCGTTGCCCCCACCAGCCCGGGGCAGTTGGGCCCAATGCACTCCTGGTCCTCAGAGCCTGGGGCAGATCTGGCACTTAAAACACTTTAAAGAATATCTGGTGAATGAATGAATAAAGAGATGTAAAGTTGGGGACATAACAGCAATAGGCTTACCCTGTGGGATTTGGACAAAGAGGGAAGAATTTCTTCCCCGCCCTCAGCTAATGGAGCTCCTGAGGGGGGCAGAGCAGATACGCCAAGTGCAGGGCCAAGACT